TATCGTCGTACGCCTAACTTGTGCGCATAAGATCATCATGGGAAGGCCGGCCCTGGAAGACCTCAGATGTGTGATATCCCAGGAGCACCTATGCATGAAGTTTCCCACTCCGAATGGCGTCGGAGTCGCCAGGGGAGATCAGCGAATGGCGAGGAGCTGCTATCTGAAAGCTTGCAAACAAATCGGTCAAAAAGACTTGAGGGTCCACACTATCAACAGCAAAGCCATGAAGTATGAGGAGGGTCAGCTCCGCGCTGAACCCACCTCAGAAGTGGAGGAGATCCAGATTGACCCCGAGAGGCCGGAGCGGAAGGTCAAGATCGGGACCGGGCTCCCGGCCGGCTTGAGGGAGAAGATTATCCAGGTACTTGTCCTTTTTAGCGTTGTCTTCGCGTGGGGACCGGAGGACATGCCTGTCCTTGACCGAAGCATCGCTGTCCATCGGCTGGCGGTCAATCCAACGGCGAAACCCATCCAGCAGAAAAGAAGACACCTCTCAACCGAGAGGAGGGAATTCGTGAAGAAGGAGGTCAATATGCTCCTGAGTATCAAGCATATCCGGGAGGTCTTGTACCCGGTCTGGCTGGCAAACGTGGTCCTGGCCCCGAAGCCGCCAACCTGGAGGATGTGTGTTGATTACACCGATCTCAACAAGGCATGCCCGATGGATCCATTCCCATTGTCTAACATCGACCAACTAGTCGATGGGACGGCCGGATGTGAGCTCCTTAGCTTCATGGACGCTTTTTGAGGATACCATCAGATTTTCATGCATGAAGAAGATGCGGAGAAGACCTCATTCGTCACCCCAGAGGGGATTTTTTGTTATCTTGTCATGGCCTTCGGGCTGAAGAACTCTGGGGCGACGTACACGAGGATGGTGGCCAAGGTATTCCGGAAGGTGCTCGGAAGAAACATGGAGGCGTATGTTGACGACATGATCGTCAAGAGCACCCGGGCATCCGATCATGCAGATGATTTGGCAGAGATCTTCGGGATCATGAAGGCAGTCCGTCTGCGCCTGAACCCGAAGAAATGTACCTTTGCCGCCCAAGGAGGCAAGTTCCTGGGGTACATGGTCACACGGAGGGGGATTGAGCCAAATCCTGAGAAGGTAAGGGCAATACTTGACATGGAACCCCCGAGGTCGGTGAAAGAAGTCCAGATTCTCACCGGCCGGCTAGCAGCCCTTGGACGTTTCATGTCCAAGTCCGCCGAGAAGTCCCTACCCTTCTTCCAAGTCCTAAAGAAACAAAATGGTTTCGTCTGGAATGATGAGTGTCAGCGAGCCTTCGACGACCTGAAGAAGTACCTCCTCTCTGAGCCTTTACTCAGCAAGCCGGAGAGGGGGAGACGTTAATCCTTTATCTTGGGGTTTCCCAAGGTGCAATCAGTTCCGTGCTGGTTCGCGAGGAGGAAGGCGTTCAGCGTCCCGTCTACTATGTGAGCAAGACCCTCCAGAATGCTGAGCTCCGGTACACCCCACTCGAGAAGACAATATATGCCGCCTACATCACCGCCAAGAAGTTGGCACACTACTTCCAAGCGCACCCGATCAGAATCCTGTCGGACCAACCCCTAGGTGCCGCTCTGAGGGCGCCCGGCACAACCCGGGTAGTGAAGTGGTCGATGCTCCTCAACCAATACGAGGTTGACTTCCAGCCTCGGACGTCCATCAAAGGCCAGGCTCTGGCTGATTTCATTGTGGAATGCACGGCCCGAGAAGTGGCAGATAGGCAACAGGAGAGCAATGAACAATGGTGGACTCTAGCGACTGATGGGTCGGCAGGAGCCAAGGGATGCGGGGGCGGAATCGTCCTCATCTCACCCGAGGGATTCCGAGCCTACTATGCCTACCGCTATCTTTTCAAAGTCTCCAACAATGAGGTGGAGTACGAGGCCCTACTGTCTGGGCTACGATTGGCAGCCGCCATGGGAGCAGAGTGGATAACGGTGAAATGTGACTCCCGCCTGGTGGTTTCACAGGTCAAAGGTGAGTTCGAAGCGAAGGAAGAAAGGATGATGAAGTATCGAGATGTTGTTCGGGAGTTGCTCGGGTTGTTCAAGCAAGCAGATTTGATCTGCATCCCGAGAAATCAAAACTCCGATGCAGAGCTCCTCTCAAAGCTATCCCAAGGGTTACCTGAACATATATCGAGAATTGCACGCATTGAGGAGATGACGACCTCAAGCATATCAGCCTCACCGTCCATTGACGTCCTTCCCCTGCAACCAGTCGCCTGGTGTTTGGTGGATGACCTCCTGCGCTACATAGCCGATGGGACGCTCCCCGAGAAAGAAGAAGAGGCAAGGTTAGTCCGGCGACGAGCTCCGGGCTACGTCGTCTTGGATGGGAAGCTGTACAAGAGGTCCTACAATGGGACCTTGCTAAAGTGTTTACGTCCACATGAGGCGGAAATGATCATCTCTGAACTCCATGGGGGCGTATGCTCCGCCCATCAGGGGGCAGGCACGTTAGCTAGGAAGGTCGTCCTCCAGGGGTACTTTTGGCCAACAATAATGAAGGATTGCGCTGACTATGCAAGGAGATGCAAGACATGCCAGAAGTTCCAGAAGAGCCCCGGCCGACCAGCAACGATGTACACACTGATCAGCACCGCCCTTCCATTCACAAGATGGGGTGTCGACCTGGTCGGTCCCTTACCAACCGGGTCGGGAAACCGGAAGTTTGTCATCGTCGCGGTGGACTACTTTACGAAGTGGGTTGAGGCCGAGCCGCTTGCCAGCATCACACATCTCCGATGTAAGAAGTTCATATGGAAGAATATTTTCTGCCGGTTTGGGGTTCCCCTCCAAATAATCTCCGACAACGGAAGGCAGTTTGACTGCGAAGCCTTCCGGCAATTCTGTGCAGAGTGGGGAGTAAAATCCAGCCGAGTTGCGGTCTGCTACCCCCAGGCAAATGGACAGGTGGAGAACACCAACCGGACGATCGTCGATGGACTGCAAAAGAAGTTGGAGGCCCTCGGGACTGCCTGGGTGGAGGAGTTGAACAATATACTCTGGACCTTCAGAACAACCCCAAGGAAGGCAACAGGAGAGACCCCCTTTGCCTTGTGTTATGGCCTTGAGGCGAGGGCACCGTTCGAGGCCGTAGTTCCCAGCCGGCGAGTAGAAGAGTTTGAACCAGCCAGCGATGAGGAGAGGCTCCGAGCCGAGCTCCACCTCATTGAGGAAAGAAGAGACTGTGCCTTCATCAAAGCGGAAAACTATCGACGACAAGTCAAGGCGTACCAAGACAGCCGAGCCCGACCCCGGAGTTTTGACGTCGGTGATTATGTCCTAAGACGTAGGAAGGCTAGCAGGCCGACAGAGGGAGGTAAGCTCTCCGTCAAGTGGGAAGGCCCTTACGTGGTTGACGCAGTGATCGGCCCTGGGACATACACGTTGAAGACAACAACAGGCCGGTTGGTAGACCGTGTCTGGAATGCCGAGCACCTGATGAAGTTTTACCAGTAGAAAATCGAAGTTTCACTTTTCTTTGTAAACTCCTGTGCTCCGAGCACAGGATTACAATTTGTAGTTCTTCATGTGGTCCGCCCACATCATGAATTCAATATACTTTGCTAGCGATATTTTGTCATCAAAAGAGGTCCGACCTCACTTAGCAATAAAGGGCGGCGGCAAAAAAAAAAGAAGGTACTATGCCCCCCCTCGGTGTTTGGCCGACCTCGGCCAGGCTCTTTAACCGAAAATAGCCAAGCGATTTTCAAGAATCCGGGCAATTTTCTAAAGTAAAGAGCTAGTCGCGACAGTCGAGGCGACGGTAGGGCCGGCCTCCGGGTTGAGGGTACTCAGGATGCTGACCTCCGGGTCCTTTCGAGTGCTCGCCGCCTAACATCGCTGGCCAAGCAGCTCGCACTCTCGTCATCCCTGAGTTGGCGGTGCGGGTTCGTTCTGGTGGATCATGCAGGGTCCGCCCTTGTTGTTTGGCTATCCATGCGGGAGTAACCAGATTATTCCCCAAGTCCGGGCAAACTGGACGGGTTAAAGTGACAGTAGGACTGACCCCCGGGTCATGAACGTTCAGGATACCGACCTAAGGGTCTTCCTCGTCGGTTCGATGTCCGACCTTGCTGGCCAAACAAGTCGCTTACTTGTTGATTCCATATCAATAGCGAACAGATCACTTCTACCCAACTAGGAGGGGCACGGATAGGCTCGGCCACGCCAGCCTAACCGCCCCCCGGGAGGTTAGAGAAGCCAGATCCCCGAATAAATTGCTAAGTATTCGTAATGCAAAGTATAGAAAAGGAGGCGTATGAAATAAAAATCAAACATCCACAAAGTATTCAAGTGGGAAACAAAGGAAATACAAAATACAATGTCACGGCTGGACAGACCCATCGCCATCAACCTCGGGGATGTCATCTAACACACCAACCAAGTCCTGTCCAGGGGCCACAGGAGTCATGTTCCCCGGAGCTGGCGGAAAGAACCAAGCCCATTCGCTAGAACTACCAAGCTCCTCCTCCTGACGGACGGCCTCTGGGGGAAGAAGGGCTATCGCCTCCACGGGTTTCTTCATACGGCCAAGAAGGCCCAGTGTGGATGGATGAAAGTCAGGGTCGAGATCCTTCAACCGGCCATACACCTTCTGCTGCATCAAATATTTGTCACTCTGAAAAGCATAGAGGACTTCGCGAGCGCGCCAATACTCTCCGTCGGGGGTCGTCAGCCACCTCTGCACTAGTTCAGACTCTTCTGCTTGCACCCTCACAGAGATGAGCTTCTGGAACTGCTCGGAGGCCTGGAACTCGGAGAGCGCTTTCTTGGCTCCTTGTTTGGCCGCTTCTTCACGTTCTTGTGCACGCGAGGACTGCAGCTCGGAGAAGGCTTTCTGGCTGGCCCGCAAGGCAGCCCTAGCTTCGTCAACCTCACGCTGAAGCCTGGCCTGAGAATGATTGGCTACGTGAAGTGCCCTGATGGTCTTGGCGAGCCCCTGCAAGATAGACAAACGAAAATGTGAGGGGGTTCAGGGATAAACACAATCCACACCAAAACGTGATCAACCTACCTCGATATGTGACCGGATAGAACCCTCCAAGAGGGGATGAAACTCTTGGGAAGTCGTACAGGTGAGGTCGCCTGGTGGGAGGATTGATGAAGCATAATCCACGACCGGGAAGCCTTCATGCACAATCGAGGCACTCGAAGATGGGAAGGCGTAAGTAACTGTATGCTGGGTGTCATGGCTGCTCCGTTCGGCCATCCTCTCATCTGCACCCTCATGTACCTGCTCAGCGGAAGGAAACTTGGGGGCGACCTTGGCCTTCTTCGAGGCTCGTTCCCCTCGGCCCGGGGAGGAGGCTCCGCGCTCTTTCCCCGCAACCGTCTTGGGGGCCACATCAGCAACGGCGGGGCAGGGCTCCTCCTCCTCCTCCTCCTCATCGGACCCATCCAATTTGACTAGCAGATCGACGAGTCCGCCCTTGTGCTTCTCCTGCACTGGCGTAGTTGGCCGAGGCCCGAAGGTAACTCTCATCCTTCTTGGAGGGGGGGCTTCGTGCCCTTTCCCCTCTGCAGCTGTTGCTGCCACAGGAACGATGACTCGTTGAGGCTCCTCCTCTTCATCGGATTCCGCCTCAACAACGAGCTTCTCAGGCACAGCTGCGGAAGGAAAATGTGAGGATAAGCAGAATAAAATACAAAGTAGCAAACATAGACCAGGGAGACGACAATCACCTAAATATGAGTTGATGGAGTGGGGACCGCCTGCGGACAATATCTCGATGGAGGACTTGAGACCAGGGGAGAGCGCGACCCGGTCACACTTCCGAACCCGCTCACCCCACTGAAACGGAGGTGACGGGAGATCGGGGTCAGACACCCAGATCCATCTCTTCTTCCACCCCTTGCCTGAAGCGGGGTAACCCGACCGAAACAGTTTGCTCACTGACCTCTGGGAGACTGGGGTGAAAAAGCTAGAAGCACACCACTGGAAACAGCTGAAAAACAAATCAATCGTGGGTGTGAGGCCCACACCCTCACATCGCGACACGAAAGCTGCAACGAACATATGAGCCGTCGGAGCCAATTGACCCGGTGCCACACCCAAGAAGTGAAGGAACCGAATCAGGAAGGGATGCAGTGGCACAGCCATCCCTAACTCCAGAGAGCGGATATGGACCCCGAAATATGGGGTTGGTGGATTGCTCAATATGTCAGTAACTCCCGGAGTTTCCAACAAACAATTATTACCAATCAAACCACATGCCATGATAAGGTCATCCTCCGTGACGCGAGAAGGGAGGCCCGGTATTCCGCTGCTATCAAGGTCCCACCAGGAATCCAGGTCTGCCTGAGTATCGGAATCATCATCTGAGTCTGGTACGTTCACAGGTCGGATGCATGCCCTATCTGGAACATTGAGAGGTCGTCCCTCAGAAGTAGCAACCCGCCTAGCTGGAGCCAACTCAGGGAGAGCATCAGCTTGCCGCCCAGTAGTAGCACCTGCATGCATACGGGGCAGAGGGCCGTGGCTGACCCGCATGGGTCTCGCAGCTGCCCCACGCTCTACTTCGATGTCAGCCGATAATCCCAAATCCACATGACCGTTATTTTCATAAGCAGAGCGCCCATCGCCTTGCATTTTTCACACTGGGAAGAGAAGACCGGATCTGCAAAAAAAAAGAAAAAAAAAAGCGTGAGATAAGTTCAATTTCCAAGAATTTTCACCAAGGGATGCGGGATGAAGATCCTGGGAGACAAACTTCGGAGGTCCAATTCCCCTGGAACCCGGTCACCCGCATGTTAGCATGAACAATAGGGTGGCCTCCGGATTCTAGAAACCGCGCCAGCCAAGCATGGGGGACCAGACCTGTCGGCTAGACCCGCCGAACTGCAGGGGCGGTGTCGCAGGCGGCGAGTGACGCAGGACAGGCATTGGGCGCGGCAGGGGCCGGCATGTGGAATCGGTGAACCACACACGGCGTCCAACCAAATTGACAGCTAAGCCGGCAAAAAAGGGGACGGTGTCGCCACTTGGCCGCTCGGCTTCTTAGCCAACGACGGCTGGCAGCGCCCGGCCTGAGAGCGCCTGGTCGCCCGCCCGCCTGGCCGCCAGCCTCCTGGGACGGTGCCGCCCAAATTGGACCCGGAGGACGACTTGGCTGCTCGGCTTCTTAGCCAACGACGGCTGGCAGCGCCCGGCCTGAGGGCACCTGGTCGCCCGCCCGCCTGGCCACCAGCCTCCGGGGAGGCCGCTCATCCCTGAAGATTGCGCCGGCCACAACAAGATCTCAGACCCGCCGGCCAATTTCGCTAGACGCCTGGACTGCTGGGGACGTCGGCGACCGGCGGGTGGAGCGAGACAGCCGCTTGGCGCAGCAGAGGCCGACCCAAGAGCCGCCACGAGGGAAACGGCGGTCAACCCAGTCGGCCGGTTGACTGCGGCGCTGGGGCGACGCGGGGAAGACGGACGCAGGTCCCAGGAGAGAGAGGAAAGAAAAAAGAAAGGAAAGAAAAGAAAAGGAAAGAAAAAAGAAGGAAAGAAAAGAAAAGGAAAGAAAAGAAAAGGAAGGAAAAATAAAATAAAGTCCGAAAATAATTTATGAAGTAATAAAAATGAATTTCAGGGATTTTTTGAAGCTGACCTGGATCCTGAAGTCTAGGAGAAAGCTTGCTGCTGGAATGCTAGAACGCTAAGGGAATTAATTTGGGGTCTTTTAAAGTTGGGTGCCTTATTCGAAATTTGGAAATCTCCATAAATTGTGGGATTGACAGAATCCACAATTATGGCTCCCTGATATGTGAATATTTTTTAATAGGCAGCTGACCCGAACTACTCCTTCTCAGCCGAGTCTACTACTCGATTAAGGGAGTGGGGGACTCGTGATAGGGTTATGGGACCAGGCCCAGAGCCTAATCGGCCCAGGCCCCGAACTTGGACCAGCGGGCCCAGCAACCTAGAGCTCGAGTCGGCCCAACCAATCAGGGCAATCAAGGAGTGGAAGCCCAAGAGAGCCTGTCGACCAGCCCAGTGAGGAGCCCGCCTTCCAGCCCAGTGGGGAGCCTGCCTTCCAGCCTAGCCAGGAGCCTACCGACCACCAGCCCCGCTGGGAGCTTGCGATCTAGCCCAACTGGGAGCCTGCGGTCCAGCCCAGGTGGGAGCCTGCCTCCAGCCCATCGGGGAGCCTGCCTTCCAGCCTACCCGGGAGCCTGCCTTCCAGCCTACCCGGGAGCATGCCTTCCAGCCTACCCGGGAGCCTGCCTCCAGCCCGGTGAGAAGCCTTCCTCCAGCCTAGCGGGAAGCCCACCGTCCAGTCCAGTAGGAGGGAGCTCAAGCGTCCAGCCTGCCAGCCAGGCTGACCTGCCAGCCAGGAAGAGTAATGGCCAACAATCAATGCGCTATTAATTATGTGTTTAATTCTATATTAATGTTGTAATTAATTAGTCATTAGTGTCTATGGCAGTTACCATTTGTAATCGCCTATAAAAGGCAAGTCCGAATTTCAAATGAGATATGCTATTTCTGGCTAACTTTCCATATTCGTACTTTCCTAATTCCTGCTTGAGTGTCGTACGTAGCTTTCCTAAAAGCCTACGAGCGTCCTATTTTGGACCAACAAGAACACTCTCTAATTATTGGGTTTATCCATTTTTTATTTTACTCTTTCACGAGTTTTAAAAATATGAACATTACTAATTCTAATTAGACTTTTATTCAAGTCTTACAGTTTGGTATAAATTATATTCGTTTGAGATTTTTAATTAATTTAACATCTCATTGTTCCATCTGAAATTATATTTGAGATGTTTATGCATTCGAATACATTACATGCATATCTTTGAATTTTATTAATAAAAGAATGGATACAAAGGAATATATCCACAAAATAGTATAATGATATGTACCACAGTCAACTTGGGGTCATAGCACTCTAAGGTATATGGGTGACATTTGTAAATTATTGAAATCTTTGACAAATAGGTGATTTAACACATTGTGGTGATGTACAATAAATTAAGGAATATATTTATCGAAGTAATCCTTAAAATCAGTTATGATTGAAACAATTGTACTCATGTCCTCACATAGAATGGAGTCATGTCATGAGTTTGAATCTGGTGACCAGTCTCTTGTCAAAGTAACAAGAATGACCTTATATACCTTTATGGGGCTTCCCCGAACCCTCACAATGTGAGGACGCCAATGTCCACCAAGGTACCCTCAATGTTTTTTTTACATAGAAACTCGCTATAAAAATGAAAGAAAATATTAGATTGCATCTAATAAATGCAAAAGAAAATGCATATTTAAGCAGGTTATGAGTCAAAGTGGTCATTGACTCATACAAACTTTGAAATAACTCATTTAGGTTATTAATTATTCGAATAAAGGATGATATGAGATCCAACACAATGTAAATTGTTGGTTTTAGCATTGATATATAGAAAAACAATATCAATCTTCTAAAGTACGAGAAGAAATATTTACCTTTCATCATGCCTTACAGATATAGTAGAAGGCACGTCAGTTATTTCTTAAAGTTTACTCCTTAGCAAAAATAGAATCGAGACATGTCCACATATGCTAAGGAAATAACAATAAAGATATCTCATTTTTTTCAATACAATGTGATATGTGAAGACTCATCTACCAAAATGCGGGCCATTTAAGTGATTATGGTTTGGTAGAAATTTACTCATGATGTCTATTTTCCTGTTGCATAAAAATGTTGCATTTGCAAAACTTCTAGCAAAACTTGTTTATTTAAGGCCCACCACCCGACCAATCAAATCTATATGACTTGTTACGGCTAGACAGTTTTCATCAAAAATACTTGATGATTATTGCATATATGTCAATATCAATGAAAAGATCTCGCATCCCATGCGCAAAATAAGATCTCAATGAAACTCACATTTAAAAGAATATAGATGATGAATATTATATCTACTATGCGCATGTGTATATATAATTATTTTCATGGGATTATGCAATATTGCAAGCACTCATGCACATTTGTTTTTAAACCGATACTAGACAACCACGTTTATGTATACCAGTCGGTGACTGGATATTAGCCTGAGATGTTCTACTTATGAATATGTGGTTGTTAAATAGTTGTGTCTATTGTGTCTCCCACAACGCATTATAATCGGTTTTAAAAGAAAAATGATGTTTATGTTGGATATGAATCCCCAACAATAATGTCACGCCCCGGACCTACCCGGACACGTCAACAACCCGCCGTACAGTACGAATAGTCAACCGCAGTCTGACTCATTCATACTATACAAGGCGTCTTGAATACCATTCACACATAGTACATCCATAAACAAACATAATGTAAAACATTTATTAAAGCAGCGGAAACAATTGATACAAGTGTTCGAGCCACACTTGGCATAATTAGGCATGCAAGCCCCCAAAATAATTATTCAGAAAATATTATCCATGAGCATTATTCATATTGTTTTTCAAAACAAGAACGGGAGGAGCACGAACCAAGTCTTCTCCTCAGAAACTTCCCGAAGCAGCGGCTGGTGGTAGCAACCTTCAAGTTCTACCTGAAACTGTGAGGTGGCCTCCCCCGTGAAGGGGAGGTCAGTACTTGGAAGCATTTGACAAGTACAATGACAACTATACTAAGTATAATCAAAGTTTAAATCTCTGAGGCCCTCAAACTAGAGCATTATTACATTATAGTTAATCCGTTCATTTAATATCAATTCATCATTATTTACCACGGTCTAGAGCCCAGCTCATAATCACCGTTATCTACTACGGTCTAGAGCCCAGCTCATAATCACCGTCATCTACTACGGTCTAGAGCCCAGCTCATAATCACCGTCATCTACTACGGTCTAGAGCCCAGCTCATAATCACCGTCATCTACTACAGTCTAGAGCCCAGCTCATAATCACCGTTATCTACATCGGTCTTGAGCCCGGCTCATAATCATCGATTCCTTATAATTCAAATTCTTAGGATCTAATTCATCCATTTCTCAACTAACATTTCCAACTGACATTTCAATGCTAGTTATTTACTTATTTCAATATAATTCTTTCTTCTTGCACAATTGGCCTTAATATCAAGTATCACTTTCATACCCTCATAGCTTCTCCTCATGGCATCAAAGTATACTATCTCAAATGATATTCATGGTTAGTACAACCATCATACACACATATTCACAACATCTAAACATACACAATTTATTCATAAATTTGTGTATCATGCATACTATACTTATAATCAATAGTAGTTTCATTTAGGCATTATTAACCATTAACAACTCATACGCATCACATTTGTATTCACTCAGGAAATCCCATGAAATTAACCCAAAGATTATAGGTAACATAGTCGGTCATCCTCACCTTAATTAAGCTTAAGCGCGTTCTACGTTTCTCGATTGGACTTTGACCAACTCCGGCGAACTTTGACCAACTCCGGCGAACTTTGACCAAGTCCGGTGAACTTTGACCAACTCCGACGAAACTCCGGCGAGGCTCAAAAATACTTTAAATCAAGTTCCTAACAAGGTTTTATCATCACAAAACCCATATCAACACAAATAACCTATAAAAGGTTATTTTCCGGCAAACCGGTCGATTTGGCTTCTAAGTCCGCTTTTGGACTTAGAATCACTTTCCAACCCATCATTCCATACTTAAATCATGTGGAACAATACTAAAGGTCTTTCATATGATATATATCTTATATGCTAGAAGAAAAACAAAGGAAAAGTTATGATAAGGTCATTACCTTAATTTTCACACTTTTTCCTAGCTTTTTCCTTCTTAAACTTCCTTCTTGGACTCCCTTGAGCTTGAGTTCGGATTTGGGCTATGGAGATGAGAAGTTTCAGAGCCTCTCCTTGCTATCCTAGGGTGCTGAATTGTGTGGGTGGAGATGGTGAGGTGAGAGGGGTGGTTTTTGTCTCATTTAGACAAATGAGTGAAGGGAGGGGGTCTACTACATGTCAAAGGTGTCTCCCCCATCCTCTCAATTGTTGTTCAGCCAATTTGGCACTCATCCAGCCCTCAAGGGTTGACAATTTCGTGGGGTGGCCCCCACCCATGTGGGAGGTCACCCTAATTTGTCCCAAAGTGTGCAATTTGCCCCGAAAGTTGTATTTTCCGGACTATTTTTAAGTATATTTTATTTTATCGGGTCAAATAAAATATAAAACTTGTTCCCAATTCTTAATGGACCTTAGAATCAATATGCATCCCTCGACTTTAATTTAGAAGTCTCCGAAATCCCTTTTCGGGCTGTTATCTGATAGATTGCCGATACTGATAATTTGGCCCCGTTTGACCAACCGGTCAACCCTATGCCATTGTCATGGCTCAACTAGGATATCCACCACTATATACATATTATCTAGTCCAAGATCAATATAATATGTGGCCCCGATAATATCGGGCGGTCCCCACTCCCGGTGTGGGCCCCACGTGCAATTTACTATTCACGCGAAAAAAATATAATACAAATTCACAACTTCGTAAATTCACTAAAAACTTCATAAGGTTCAATAAATTATTCGCTTAAAGGTAAATACATTTGGGGACGGTGTTACAAATAATCCGCTACTAGCCTTAACAAATAATGTGTACACCGCTTTGCGGGATATGACTTTAATGAGACAATTGATTTTCCTATCATTAGGGAGAGATTAGAGAAAGGACTCTCTAATAAGCAATTGATTACAAAATCATCACTCAAGTCGCTCAGGAATCAAGCAGACTCCCTGGGAGTTTCAACAACCTTTTTCACCTTCACCTTCAACAACCTTTTTTCACCTTCACCAAGAAACTGCACATGGTCAAAGGCCTGGGAGTTTCAACGGACGTGTTGTGCTAAAAAAATAGTTCACAGACACTTTAAAGAGATGCATGCATGACACTTACATGACCTAGATTATCATTTAATCTATGCAATGAGCGAGCACGGTGTACAACTAAGCTCAACCGTTTTCAACACAAATGTGTATCAACGTATACTTGAAGTACGAGGAGGGTCAGGTGTATAAATTCCACAAGTCTCCGGGTTCAATTATTAAAAATGCAACTCTTTTTCATGTTGACACGGGAACACCATTTCTTTCGGAAGATTGCCTGTCTCATCATATTGTGCTTTCACACTTGCGCTTTTTGACTCGTTCACCCGGTCTCACCAATTAAAAGCGTGAGTCCATGCTCGCAATGCAATTATTAAAACATCAAAACTCGGAAAAGAGACTGCTCATACTCTGATTTCAAAGCAGCGGAACAGTGCCCGAGATGGGCTACCAAAACAACCTCAATTAAAGATTTTCATCAACACTTCTTTTTAG